GCCAGATAGTAGAAAAAACTGATTTCAGGAGAGGACATTATGGGAAATGCAGACATTTCTATAAGGAATTTGACCCCCCCACTCCCTGTCTGGCCCGTTGTCGCCGTGAAGGGGGGCTTAGTGGGCGGCTGCCGGGGTGTGATGCTCCATGGGTCAGTCCTCTGTCCTTTTGCAGCCTTATGCTCCTGCTGCTGTCTTTACCAATTGTTCCATGCATCTTTTCCTTTTCCTCGTGTTTCATTTTTCTACCCCCCCCCCCCCGTTTCTCCTTTCAAATTGTCATTTCCCACCGACCTTTTGCCTGTTTTGATCATTTTTTTCGGCCTTCTTTTGTTTTGACGCCCGGGTGTTTGAGGAGGCATACTCTTGCACCCGTAGAAACATAAATTAATAAATGAGTCGCAACATGGTTTTACAAATGACCGTTCATGTTTAACAAATTTGCTATCTTTTTATTCCAGCATAGTTGAGGCAGTTGATAGTGGTAAGGATTGTGATGTTGTGTACCTTGACTTTAGCAAAGCTTGTGATACAGTGCCACATGAAAGACTGATTAAAAAAATAGAAGCTTATGGTATTAGAGGTGCTATATTAAGTTGGATTAGGGCATGGCTATACCAAAGAATATAGAGTTAGTATAAATGGGGTTAAGTCAGAGTGGGATAATGTTGTTAGTGGAGTGCCTCAAGGCTCTGTCCTGAGACCTCTGTTGTTTATAATATATATATAAATGATTTAGACTCAGGTTTGAGTAGCAACATCTGCAAATTTGCAGATGATACAAAAATCGGTAGGGAAATTAACACAGAAGAATACGAATACAAATACAAATATTCAGGTAAAGTGCATACATACAAGGTGAGATACAAAAGTTGATGGATTTATAGATAGAGCTAGTACATACAATGCCTAAAGCCACTATTACGCAAAGCGTTTCGGGCAGGAAAAACACTAAGACTAAAACTTAATACAAATTGAGATTAAAGTATAAATTGTGTTGAGAAAAAATACGAAAAAATATAAAAAAGGGGGGGGGGAAACATGGCAGAAAAAAAACAAAAATACAATTTGGTCAACAAACAGCATTGTTTAAAATCGTAGACATGGGTTGACATTTAGGGGTGAGGTAGGTTACATTGAGTTAATTAGGTGGTACTTAGTTTTTATCTTAAACTGGTTGGGAGAGGTACAGTCTTTAACATAATTGGGAAGGTCATTCCACATTCGAGGTCCCTTGATTTGTAAAGCATTTCTAGTTTGACTAAGTCGTACTCTTGGAATATCAAATAGGTATTTGTGCTCATAGGTGTGGTGCTCTTGGGATCTGTTACAACCTTCTAGGAAGCTTTTAAGGTCAGGATTGACATTACAGTTCAGCGTTTTATATATATAAAATACGCATGAGAGGATGTGGAGTGACTTAATATCTAACATATTCAGAGATTTGAGTAAGGGTACCGAGTGATGTCTGGGGCCAGAGTTAGATATTGTCCTAATAGCAGCCTTGTGTTGTTGAGTAATTAGAGGACGTAAATGATTTTAGGTAGTAGAACCTCAAGCACAAATACCATAGTTGAGATAAGGATAAATGAGAGAGTAATAGAATGTCACCAGGGCAGGGCGAGGTACATAATATCTGATCTTAGAAAGAATTCCAACAGTTTTTGAAACTTTTTTTGATATATTTAGAATGTGTCCCAGGAAATTCAGCTTGCGGTCAATGAGAACGCCAAGGAATTTGCCATCTACTTTGTTACAAATTTGGGTATTGTTAATCCTGAGATTTATTTGATTTGAGGATTTATTGCCAAACAAAATATAGAAAGTTTTGTCAATATTGAGGGTGAGTTTGTTGGCAGTTAGCCAGTGATGGACTTTATTTAGCTCGGTATTCACTGTGACATTTAGAGCAAGGGGATCAGGACTGGAGTAAATGAAGGTTGTGTTGTCAGCAAATAGAATTGGTTTGAGGTGTTGGGAGGTATTTGGAAGGTCATTAATGTAGATGAGAAAGAGGAGAGGGCCAAGTATGCTGCCCTGGGGAACACCAATGTTGATTGGTAGGGTGGGAGAAATTGAATTAATCACAGAAACATATTGGAGCCTGTCAGTAAGGTAAGACTTAAGTTACTGCAGGGAGTGACCTCTGACTTCATAATGTTGCAATTTAAGAAGAAGGTTTTGGTGGTTGACAGTGTCAAAAGCCTTACGCAGGTCCATAAATAACCCAATAGGGAACTCATTTTTATCAAGAGCTGCATGTATCAAGTTAATCATACAAATAAGTGCATCGTTAGTGCTTTCTTGGGGTCTGAAGCCATAATGACAAGAGCTAAGTATATTGTGTTTGGCTAGATAAGAGTAAAGCTGCTTGCAGATAAGTTTTTCAAATATTTTAGACAAGTTTGGCAGAATTGATATAGGTCTGAAGTTGTTAACATCAGTGGGATCACCACATTTGTGGAGAGGGGTTACTCTCGCTTTTTTTTAGAATATCTGGAAAGGTTTGGAGTTCAAGTGACTTGTTGAAGAGCAATGCAATGGCAGGAGCTAAAAATCTGGAGACTTTTTTGTAAATAAGAGTTGGTATCTCCTCAAGGGCACTAGACTTGGTTTTAAGGGAAAGGATTGTGTCAGTAACATCAGTGGTATTAGTAGGCATTAGGTACAGACTGTGGATAGTTACCTGTAAGATAGTCCTGAATATTAGTACTGGAAGATGGAATATCATTTGCAAGGGATCGATGACCCAATGGAAGAGAAGAACCTATTGAACTCAAAAGCAGTGTCAGAGGCTGAAAGCAGACCATCATTATTTGACAGGAGTATTGGTTTGTTATTTAAAATCTTCTTTGATTCCAATATTTGTGAAATTGTGCTCCATGTTTTCTTAATGTTGCCCTTTGTTTGGGTAAATTTATCTTCGTAGTATTTAATTTTGGCTCTTCTAATTATTTTAGATAGCAATGATGAGTAATTCTTTGAAAATTCTTTGGAGACGATTCCTAACCTATACTTCTTCTCAAGGTCATGTTTCTTAATAATGAATTTAAGTATTCCCTTTGTGAGCCAAGGATTGTTTAGCCTTTTAGTTGTGACTTGTTTCGTTAGCATAGGACAGTGGGTGTTATAAAGGCTGAGAGTTTTTTGAAGAAAAGATTGCACTGCTAGGTTGATGTCCCCTATGTTCCATAATTCGGATTCCCAGTTGATATTAGCAGCAACAGCTATAAAATTGCTTATAGCAGTTTCATTGTGCAGTCTAAACCTTATCTCCCTTGTCTCTAGAGGTGGTTTGTTAATGTTGGTTAGGAGAAATGTGGGGTAATGGTCTGTGGTGCTATCGATGATTATCCCTGAAGTAAGCGGAGAGGTTATGTTGGTCCAGATGTGGTCAAGAGCCGTGGCAGTACTATCAGTGATTCTAGTAGGTCTAGTGATTAAGGGTATGAGGAAGCAGGAATTCATACAGTTGAGGAAACTAGCAGCAGGAGGGTTATCAGGCTCGCTGAGGTCAACGTTAAAGTCACCAGAAATAATTAAGTGGTTTGTGTTCTTTCTTGTGTTGATACTTTTAATACCCTATTAATATCCCCTTTGTTATGCCTATTCATCCATTTGTAAATCTCTATCATGTCACTCCTAACTCTTCGCCTTTCCAGTGAATGCAATTTAGGCTTTGTTAATCTTTCTTCACATGAAAGATTTCTAATTTGGGGAATTAACCTTGTCATCCTACGCTGGACACGTTCAAGTGAATTTATATCCATTCTATAGTACGGCGACCAAAACTGAACTGCATAATCTAAATGGGGCCTAACCAGAGCAAGATATAGCTGAAGAATAGCACCAGGTGTCTTGTTACTAACGCTTCGATTAATAAATCCCAGTGTCCTATTTGCCTTATTACGAACATTCATGCACTGATCCTTTGGTTTTAAATTCTTAATCATGTTGACCAGACCACACACTAGAAGTTGAAGGGACGACGACGTTTCGGTCCGTCCTGGACCATTCTCAAGTCGATTCTTAATCATAACTCCCAGATCCCTTTCGCAATCTCAACACCATCTGGCTCGTATCTTGTAACTCTATCATCGTTACCTAGTCTCAGAACTTTACATTTATCAGCATTAAACTGCATCTGCCAATCTTTTGACCATTTGACCATTATCTCAGCAAAGAAAACAAAGATACTAAATCGACATTTCTAACCAGTTGTGCGAATTCTTGTTCTAAACTGACTTCCCCATCCTTAATCCTTTTGTACCAAGCTCTCTTTCTACCTATAAGGTTTCTCAGATCCTTTGTTATCCATTTCGGGTCATTTGTATTTGATCTATTGAATTTGTAAGGTATACTACTTTCCTGTGTTTTGCTTAGAATATTTTTTTTTTTGTAAATAAGTTATGAATAGCCCGTAAGTGGAGGACCTTTGGAGCCATTACCAGTATCATTAGCTGATACTGGAGATCTGTGGAGGTGCGACTGCACCCTACGGAGAGGTCGTGACCTGTGATCATATCTTGCAATAATCCTCAAACTATGCTACAATGTAACTGTGGATAACCCTTAAATTTACTTTAGTGTACCTAATTTTTGTTCTCAAATTTCTTATATAATGAATTTTTGTATACTTTCTTACAATTACATTTTATACTCTCTTACAATGTATTTTTATTCTTACAATCTACCTGTAATTTTTTTTTATTTTAATAGAAATTACCTTCTTAAAATTATATGTTAGATTAAGGATCTGCTCGAAACGGTATGCGTGCTAATGGCTTTACAAGAAAGTAAAACTTCATTGCCCTGTACTCTCCTAAACCAAATGTACCTTCTTGTAAATAATTAAATAATAAATAAAAAGATGATAGGAAACGCCACACGGGATTCGAACCCGGATTTGACCATCGAGAACGAATCCGACTGTACAATTGTAAACGTAGAACTGTATGTATTCAAAGTTCTACGTCATCGCAGCTCTTTAAAACAAACTTTTCTACCTTACTCCGACCCGAACATTAACTTGATGTTAATCTAACCTTACGAAAATAAAAATATAATTTGTTGTGATTTATGTATATGTTAACGCGAGCTGTGACGTCACGAGGCGCTCAGTGAGGGAGCTTTGAACGTGTGAGTCAAGTGTTGTTCCTGGAGCCTTGTGGGTCACCCCTTCACTTGCTGGGTCATCCCTTGCCCTCCTGGGTCATCCTTAGCCTCCTGGGTCACCACAACCTGTTCTACTGAGGTAACTCTGCTCATGGACCCTTTGGAGACGGTCATTTTGAATGGTCAAGTGCGATGCAGTTTTTTTTTTTTTTTTTTGGCCCAGAGCTACATGGTGTTAGGTCACCAACCATGATGGGCCCGAGAGCTGGAGCCCAATGCTCTTGGTATGATGACAGTATAGGTGTGGGGGTGGATCATGCTGAACATTAAAGGTAACTAGTAGTACAGTCCTGTTCGTTCTCAACTTGCAGTCGGAAATTCCAGGTTCGAATCCCGGGCAGGGACAGAAATGGTTGGGCATGTTTCCTGTCCTGTTTCCTAATTCTCCTGTTCAATTAGCAGTAAGTAGGTATGCAGGAGTTAGTCAGTCAGTCAGTAGTGGGGGTTGCATCCTGGGGAGGGTCTGTAGGTCTGGGTATGGTCGTTTGGGACACGAAACGATTCGAGGAAGAAAGTTTTGTTAAAACCATACATATTACACACTACATACATACATATTATCCATACATATTGTTATGCTAGGCTGTATTAGGCTCAGTTGGGTTAGGTTAGGCTGGTTTTGATTAGGTTGAACTAGGTTAGGTTTCAATCTCCATTGACAAATCATACAGCAGCAATAACAATACATCCATAATCACACCATTTTATTTGTATTTTTTTTTTATATATACAAGAGCTCTTACATTCTTGTAAAGCCACTATCACACACAGCATTTTGGGCAGGTTCTGATTCTTGATTTTCCCTGAGATATAACCTACCAGTTTAAAAACCAAATATACCCGTTCACTGCTGAGTGGACAGAGGCGTACAGTTGAGGATCGCTGCCTAATCAATCCTCCCTGGCCAAATCACTCACGAAGTGTGGGACGAGCGTGTTACCGCTGCACTATGGGGACCATCATTAAACAATTAATAATTATGAAGTGGCAGCCAGTGTATACTATGGTGTCAAATAGTTTTGCTGGCATGGATATAAGGATATTTTTTTCTCCTGTCTTTCACAGATGTAGCCATTCATTTATATGGCGCTAACCAGTGTATATATTTTTTATTTTATTTTGACCTCCTTGGACAGGGTTAGAGATCTGTTAGTAAACATACACAGTACTGAAGTGAGTTATTGAGCACAACCACAGGTGATACTGGGCATACATTCTCATATATCTTGCACAGACAGGGGGTAAGATAGGGCAAGATCTGTTCTACTATACATAGTACAGCTGGTCACTAAGCAATTGGCCACAGGCGATTGAAGTAAAGGATAAGCTGGAGATATCAAAAGTATATGAATAGTGTTTGATCCACCATATTTTATCAGGGACTGTAGGTGCAGTAATGTATTGATATTACAATACAGCAATATAGTCAATATAGTGTATAGTCAGTATTCTTAAAAATACACTCAATACAATACAATACACTCTTAAGTATTCTCATCAAAAGAATGATGGGTATTGTCCCCTGGATATTCATCTCCTAAATTAAAGAACCCAATTTTTCCATTTTTTGTCATTGTTTCATTAGTGATGCTATCTTGAGAACAATTACAGTATTTGAATTTACAATACAGAACTTTTACCCTAATGCTTTAAAATATTTTTTATTGGGGATAGTTTATTTTAAGAGGGATGGTACTTTAACCTAGTCAATTTTGAGAGTATTTGTTGGCATTTATATGCCTACTGTTATACTGTGCTTCAGATTTGTATATAAATAAGTGGCTACATATGAGTCAGTAGGCCTATTATTTTTAATATTCTTAATACCTTAGGAACCTACTGTGTACTATTAATACATGGGTAGAAACGACTCTAATGGGAATGCTTCCCTTGATTACCCTTTAATGATTAATGGAATTTAATTTTTGTGCAATGTTTTGTTTGGACAGATGGAGCCTATGACTTTGGGCAGCCCCGTTGGTTCTCCGACAGCCACCCCCCATGCTCCGCCTGCCAGCACAACACCCAGCACATTTCTTCCCTCCTTTCTCATGGGGGATATAGCCTCTCCGTCAGTGAGTATATCTGATCAATATCATTGTCTTAAAGGAACGCATTACTTTAATGATATATATATACTGTATGAGCTCACTTATCCGGACAATATGGGAAGGACCTCTCATCCCCCCATCGGATAAGCCTGACATCAGGATCAGCAGAATTCTTATTGGGAAAGTTTAAAAATGAGCATACAGTATTTGCAATTTTTTGTACCACAACCATCACAATTTGAATTTCCACACACTATAGTTAAAAAATTTCACCAGAACTGCAATTTAAACTGGAAACTTCAGCTTACCTTGTTGTAGTTCTTGATTGATATTGTACATCTTGAAATCAATAGTTCTTGAAAAGTAACATAACCTAACCTAATAGAACACTACTAATTACGTAAGTGTAGTTACAGTATGAAAGCTATGCTCGTGGTGTCCTGTTTTCCCAGCACTGTCATATAACGCTTTGAAACTACTGTACTGACGGTTATGGCCTCCACCACCTCAACCTGTATTCCAACTGTTTACTATAGGCAGTTCCCCAATTACAAAAGAGCTATGTTCTGAGACGATGTTTATAAAGCATTTGTTTGGAATGTGGATCAAGATTTTCCATAGGTGCATTGCTATCAGTAGGAAATGCGTTCCCAGGCCATTAAAAATCGTCCCAAAACAAATATTTTTGGGAATTTTTGGGATGTACTGAATAATATAGAAAACCACAACATAATTTACCTTGAATGATGGAGTTATCTTATTTGTCAAAGTTGGCTGTTTTTAAAGTGTGGAGTGGTATAATTACATGAATAAATAAATTAAAATACATGTTCTCTGTATTAGTGGTCTGCCATTTTGAATTGGCCTCAGGAGTAAACGCCTCCCCACCCTCCTCCTATCTGTAACCCGGGGCTCCACCCCACCAACACTGTAAACATGATCAAATCGTGTGTGTGGGGGGGGGGGGTCATTCATATAATTGTGTTATTTCTGGTATGTCATTTTTGAGGACAATGAACATTACTGGTGCAAGAACTGAACCCTGTGGTACTCGACTTATGACATTTCTCCAGTCTGATACATTGCCTCTGGCCTCATTTTTTTGTCTGAAAATTTTTCATCCGTGTTAGAAGCCTCGCTGTCACTTCTGATATGTTCCAGTTTCCAGAACAACCTCTTATGTGGGACTCTGTCAAAAGCCTTTATTTAGGTCCAAATAGATGCAGTCAACCCAACCATTTCTTTTCTGTAGAATCTCTGTGGCTCTATCATAGAAACTAAGTAGATTCGTTACACAGGATCTTCCAGATCCAAAACCACATTGTTATTATATCAGTTTTCTCCAGGTATTTTCACCAGTTTTTCCCCATTTGGTTTTACTGTGCAGTAGAGTACATGAGCTTGGCAAGGTCTGTTTTGACTGCCAGCTGATGAAACATCACTGATTGAAGGATCTTGGCTATCTGGTGAAGCTTCAATTTTCCTCTTCACACTGTTGTGCTGATTTAGATTTGTGATATTCCTCCAAAACTGATGCTATGCTTTAAACCAAGTTAAAAAATTTCAGAGTGGACGTTTAGGTGGTGGTGGAAGTGCCAGCCCAAATAAAACAACCCGTCAATTTTCGTCATCGGCATCAGTGTCCTCTCCAGGATCTCCGCAGCCAATGAAAGACCCATTTTTTCCTTCCAGGTAACTGTGTACTGTACATAAAATATTTATAGACAATTCTGTGTAAATCTTTGAATAATATATTCAATATATAAGAGTTACAACTGTCATTACTGGTTAGCCAACTTTCTCCTTAATTTTTTTATTTTTTTCCACTTCATATCAGTGTGATGTCACCATTTTCCATGAAAATTATCTTATCTTGCATAGAATTGCATCTGACATACCTCAAGATATTACTTCTCTTTTGTATCGTATACATACCATACTAAAAAATGCTTTTCTTCTAGTGCATAACCAGTGACTTTTCCCTTATTGTTTAATCAATTGCACCACATACCTTTGCATTTCCTTAAAATTCAAATATGTCTTGATCTGCGGCCGTTATTACTCCTTGCACACTAAGTAAACCCATCGTATCAGCTTGTTGCACATTCCCACTTTATAATTAGTCACCCATAGCTTTTGCAATTTATTGGTATCATACCAATCTTACTCTCTAGACTCAACAAACTACTTTTAATTTTGCTATTACATGAAGCATATACAATTACCACAGGATTTCTTGTATTGTACGATTACCTAGAATTTCAGTAAGAGAGGTCATTCATTGACCCATACCTCTTTATTTGTTACAGGGCCTACTCTCCCTACTCTCATAAATGCTTCTTCTAATACTGTACTACAAACATTCCCTCTTTAAAACTTTCACCATTTCTTTTCATATACTTTCCCTACATTTCACATACACATAAGCCTGCCTTTGTTTTCTAGGGTACTGTCAGGCACAAGTCTTAGATCCAGGTTCAATTCTGATCTTCACTGGAAGGTGATTAGCAAGATGGGTTGCCAGCCAAAATTTCCCAACCCTCTATTGCCATGGACAAGGGACTCTGTGCTCCACAGTTTTGGGTAATGGGATGAGATGGGGGAAGTTACCACATTCTTATGCTGGGATATATTTATAACTACAATAAGAAGAAAACCAGCATTGAATGTAATGAAACGCCATTTTCTGGGTGAGTCCCGGAGGCTCCCCGGCATCCCTCCCTCCACTCCCTCCTGTTGGCATTTTTTTCGCTTGTTTTTGACATCCAGCCTCGGAACTGGGGTGTGGATCGCCGGCGCGGTAGGTCTGGGGCTGCCCCTTTCCCCTCCCAAGGAGGGGGGGGGCTGCTCAGACAGCGGCGCGACGACGGATGACATCATACTAGTTTGCTCGATTTTGTTTGGGGAGTTCTATCCACTCGTTCGGCTTTTGGTTGCAATCTTCACCAGAATAGGGGTTTGTTTTGGGACGCCTACCTTTCTGGGTGCCTAACCCAGTTGATGGCAGACATTGAATGCTTCCAATTACACGGGGTTTCTATAGGCCATTGCACCCCTTGCCTCTCTAGAGGGAGCCAGGTTCTGGCTCGTGGTCCCCGGTAGGCCCATAAGAACTCGTACACATGACTGATGCCAAAGTCTGACATTAGCATATCAGCCTAGTAAGCTCCGGGGAGCCATATGGGCTCCCCCCTCCCCCCAGAAAAACTATCAAATTACTGTGCTGTGTATTATACATATTATAACAAAAAATTGCATAAATATTGTAATTGACAAATGTGTTCCTTGAAATAAAAGGAAGACCTTAACAGGGTGATGTGCATTTCAATTTCTCAAAAGCTGTTGAAGTTCCCATGGGAACTTAAAATGCTTTATTGTAGTATCAAGTAAGCAATTACTGTACTTAGTGACTGAAGAAATTATACATAGGCCAAGGTTTGTGGTGACCTGATTACAAAATAACATTGAACATTGTATCAGCTGGAGCCAACATGCTGATATAATATATCAGCTGGAGTCAACATGTGTGTCATGCTATTTAGAGATTAATCTTTTGCAGAATGTTTCTTCTTGTAAAATTAACTTTGTTTCACTTCTAGATTAGGACCAGATAAGCCAGGAGGACCCCCAACACAAGGCCTAATAGGTGTTCGAGGCCCATCTTCTCTGCCTCAGTCTCCAATCTCTGCACGTCTTGGAAGCCCGTATGTTGATCAACGTATTTTAGGTATGTCTAAATTAGCATGTTAAATGGGACATACTTGCAAATTGAACTTTAATTGGCAAGACATATTTTGTCAGAAATAGTCTACAAATCACAAACTAACATGTCTATTTTTTCAATAGTTAATTATTTCTGGAGGCGCATAAATTTCCAGACTGTGGAGTAAGCTTTTTTTAAGGCAGTGCCTACAATGTACAATGGTAGGAGTGCAGCTTCATAGTAAAAGAGTACAAAAAGTATTAGTCTGAATTTGGATATAAATAATAAAGAATGTGAGAACTTTACTTTTAGGGGATGTGTGTATAGTTATTTTCACCATTGCAGCATTCCCTTCCAGGTACTCCAATTGGACCACAAGCATATGGAGCACAAGGAACCCCAAGTTATTATGGTACACCTGGTTCACCTTTGGTCCCCGCCTCGCAGTCGGCCTACAGCAACAGTGTCTTCACACCTTCCAGAGATCATTCCAGTTTTCTTGTTCAAGATCCATTACAAGTGTAAGTACTGTATTGACATTCAATGTTGAAGTACAGTTTGATAACAATTTACAGTTGATTGGATTGTGCTGTGAATGTTTAGTCAAACTCTTCCTACACAGAAACTTGAATTACCAGTCATACAGAATCTTTCAAACGTGTCAATATTGACTGTCTCTACACTTCATGTTTACATTGCTAAATCAGCTTGCAAAACATCAGAAGATGCATGCTTCATGAGCTGGTTGACTTATGTATGAAATGAGTTTAACCCCATAGAGCTATATGTTTTAGAATAAATCAAGCCAAAAATGATTTCAAAATGTATCTTGCCAGCAAGTGGGAGCTTGTGAGTCCAGAGGTAGTGTGATGACAACTTTAAATATTGATCAAATTACTGTATTATCACAGATTTATATTTGTGTCTAAAATAAAGTTAGAGGTACAGAAAAAATTGGCCACATTAATTTGTATAAGAGTTGGCCTCTTGTAGACTTTAATATGCTGGTCATTTAAAAGGTTCTTTAAAATATGTAAATAATCATTCCATGGATTGGCTGTCTATTGTACAGTATTTCCAAAGCATACATCACGTCTTAAACTAAAACAGTTGCAATGTGTGGTAACAGTTCAGATTGTCTCAGTCAGAGCACACAAGAGGAAAATTATATTGAAAACCCCCCAAAAAAATAAAAGTAAATTAAACTAAAGAGAATGGGACTACAATGTTAATTTAAAGGGCATTGAAAATATGTTGTAGTTAGTGCAAGAAAGAGAAACAAGCATCAAATGGATTGGGAATATATGCTTTCTCTATAGTAAAATGTTTGACTGACAAGTTTTCTATATTGGTATAATTTGAAATTGTCTTGGGTAATTTGACACATTGCCATCTACCAGAGGTTTATTAACTGGGAATTTTTTCTTCTTTCAACTACTTTTAGATCTGCAAGTGATGCCATGGAAGATACTTGGGTAACAGTGTTTGGATTCCCAGCTGCCGCAGCTTCATATATACTAACTCAGTTCACCCAGCTGGGCACTATCACAGAGCACCGCAATCCTGGCACAGGAAACTGGATGCATTTAAAGTATCAGGTAGGAAAACATGCTGTTGAAATATGTTAAGTGTTATGCATCTTCATTGTAGTAATAGCATAATTGCTTGTTTAACTTAATGTTCATTAGCTTTCCCCGATCTATTATTTTGTTATTCTTCTTGAGGGGATATTTTTGTAGTTTCTCTAGCTTGGGGAATGTCGGACAAATATTTAGAAATATTTAAATTTTAAAGAGTGTGTATATTAATTATATATGGTACTGCTGTTAAGCCATAATAGTATGCTGATAATTTCTCATTACAGTTGTACATGTCCTATAATGCTTATCCTGTTTCCTTTATTCATGCACTTGCACCCAACAATCTGATCTTATCCCAACTCTTAAGATCAACTTGTTAATATAAATAGATAATTTTAGTTTACTAATTCCACAATTGTCAATTTCAGACGAAACTACAGGCGAGAAAAGCACTGAGTAAGAATGGGAAAGTGTTCAGTGGAAATATCATGGTTGGAGTCGTGCCTTGCAGTGATAAGGTGAGTCTCGCAAGACATTTAACCCTTGACCACTCAAATGCGCAGAGTGCCTTAAGGTGCTCTGAGAGTGGTGTGTGGGGTAATCCTAGCAGGAAGAAATGTGCTTTTTATTTTGAATATTTTTGTTATATTGTATTTACTTTATATTGAACTATAATTCTAAGTGGACTGTATTTTAAGATTTAGCCTGCCTGTTTTCACCTGAACACACAGTCGGGGGGGGGGGGGTGTCAAATATACACAGCTTATCCCACAATTGGTGGTGATAAATAAGACATGTATACATTTACAGTTAATTTTACATAGATTATACCACATATGGTGGTATTGAGTAAACTACAGTATAATGTTAGTTCTAGTGTTATAATTATATTAGTATAACTGTGAAAGCTTATCTATTTTGAGTAGTTATGACCTGTATTGGCAGTGTGAGAGCTGCTCCTCCAACATTGTGTGTTATGCCACAAGTGGTCTAGGGTGTGCCATGTAATGGCGCCTGGCTCTGTAATGGCAGCTACCAAAGCATGTAAGATGTCACAGGTTATGTATGTCGGCCAGCTCTACTGATGGGTGCCTGACAGCTGGGTGGACAGCGCTTCGGATTCGTAGTCCTGAGGTTCCAGGTTCGATCCCCGGTGGAGGCAGAGACAAATGGGCAAATTCTTTCTTTCACCTTGATGCCCCTGTTACCGAGCAGTAAGTAGGTACCTGGGAGTTAGACAGCTGCTATGGGCTGCTTCCTTGGGATATGTAACGAAAAGGAGGCCTGGTCGAGGACCAGGCTGCGGGAACGCTACCATTGAAGACTACCATTCCACCACAGCATCCAGCATATGACGTTGGCTGAATTCAGATGGAGTTGCAGGAGGGCCAAGGTGATCCAAGAGCACTGAGAGAGAGACTGCTTCTCCAGGGAGGTGATGCCCTTTATATAGTCTGGCGGTGATGACTCATCCAGTGTCAACGCAAGGTGGATATTTGGTCTACTAGCAAACTGCTCGTTTGTGGCTGGCGGTGACTTTGTGTTGAGCTGTACCACTGCCCATTGAAGGCGGCTAACTGCTTGTTTGTGAAGGCAAACTACCGGTTAGCAAAGGCGCCCGGCTTGCCTCTTGAGTCATACTAGGCCGTGCCAGGCCGTGCCAGGCCGTGCCAGGCCCTAGGGAGTACGGAGAGGTGGCAGGACTGACGACTCATCTGGGCTGGTGTAGATGTAGACTTCCAGTGCAGAGGCATTGAAGGTGAGGGAAAAAGGCAGTTCCACTGCTATGCAGGGGATTCACGTGACAATACACACACAATGACTAGCTAGCTCCCTCTCCGAGCATCTCCGCCAATGTTATGGTTCCAATATTCTGTCTTATGGACTTTGGGAGCTAAGCTTTACTTTTATTGATAATGATACTATATCCAGTCATAGTGAACACTTTTATTAATTCTAAATCACTAGACTGTAGTTAAAGAATAAGAGATTTGTAATGTTTGTTTTGATGATATCACGTTTCCCGTTCTCTTTTAAACTTTTACTGTCTAATGTAAATATAGTAGTATAACCAGGTTGGCTGGCTATATTGGATTAGTAATATTTAGTATTGATATGTTATGTGTCGGATTTCAGATATGGTGCTTTTTTTTTTCTTTAATTGGGCTATATTTTAATGTTTTTTAATGTTTTTATCAATCTTTGTGACTTGAAAGGCAAATGGTGGAGTTTGGAAACATTTTGACATTAACTTTACCTGAACATTTATAAAAACAACAAAAATATGACCTTAACAATTGCACTATGAAGTTTTTGCCAAAAACAGGTGTGCAGTGCAGGGGTTAGGGGGTTCAATTCTCTGGATCACCACATTGTAATTCCTAAAATATTCCTTGGATATATATGGTACAGAATTTCAAATTGCTAATTCAATTCTGTTACTTATATCAGTTCCTGAAATTTGAGTTGTACCACAATTTTACATTTTTTTGTAGGACTTGGCATGATGAATAGATATGAAGTAAATATCAAAATGTCATAAACATAATATTTTGAATAAAGATATTTGAAATAAAGGGTACTACATGCTCCAAAGTTCTTCTAATTCATTTTTTGTATATACAAGGTTAATCAATTTATATGTTAATAATAGCCAGCGGTATGTCAAATCTTGGGATTTGGTAGTAGGTAGCTTGGTAGTAGGATATACTGTAAAAGCATAACCCAATTTCCTTAAATTTCTATTAAAAACATCATTTGGCACAACCTGAATTTGCTTTGGATGAACAAAATTGTCATGTGACACGAGTCATTATCAAAAGCATAACACTAAAATTGGGTAGCCGTCTATGATAAACTCTACAGCTTCATTATGAATATGATGGCAGAATCTTGATTATTTTTCCAATAGTACTGTACAGTAATTAGGGACACAATATTCCCAATTATTGCTGTATATTTAGTAAACCCCTGTTCACCAGTTCAGTAGTAATAGAGAATATTTATGTAAAACAATTGGCAGTGTGTGTTCTGGGGAAAATATGGTAGGCTATATTTCTGAAATGGAGTTGGAGGTTGAGAGTTGATCCTCTTTTCATAGGGTTTGTCCAAGCTTTGACCATAGCCTTCTTTCTCAGGTGGGAGGAGTGGTCCTTTCCTGTTTAGTAGTAGTCTGGGGCTCTGCAATTGAGGGAAGGTCAGAATGGAGAAGAGTGAAAGCCAGATTATACATGCAAAGTTCATTCCTTAGTTCAGAGTTGCTGTTTATTATATATGTAATTAACTAAGAGTAGAAGGATGCAGATGATGCAAAGCCCATTAGAAAAGCAACATCACAGGATGATTACAAAATAACAGGAGGATCCAATCATGCTACAATAAAAACATGCTAACCCCCATAAAATAAAATTGTTGTAATTAGGTCTTGATTTGCTACATATTATATGAAGCTGCAGTCAAAAGAATGGCCTTAAGGAACCTAATTAATTAATCAGAACCTTACACAGTACACTGTACAGCCTATGTGGGGGCCAGTCATCAAGTAGCTTTTGCATGAAAGTCTCAGCTTGTGAAGTATAAGAATATATCTATATGGTCTTGATTTGCCATAAGACTGACTACAGAACTAAGAGAACTAGACTGAGAACACGCTAGGAGAGTTAAACCTAACATCATTGGGAGAGAAAACCATAGGATACATGATCATTATATTTAAAATTATATGGGGAATTGATGAAGTAGACAAGAATAGCATGTTTAGACTGAGGAAACTGAATAAGAGGATGCAGATGAAAAGTAGAGCGAGTGTGTGGGGGTTAGCACCAAACGGTTTTAAGTTAAGACTTGGCAACATATTGTACGGAGATCAGAAGTAGTACAAACACTATAATAACTTTATTGTACTGTGTAGTATACTTTCATGCATTAGATAGTATGTTACATAAATAACATTGACTCCTGAACAATGCCTTTGATGTTGCTTGTCTAATATCTTACCTCTCATTGGCATCCCAAGAGCTATTTAGGATAATTTTAATATCCTGACACTGATGGTGCTAAGCGGTATTCCTGGCTTGGTTCACTTATTCTGGGGGATCTTCGTGGCTCCCTGAAGCTACTAGTTGACATGGTCACAAACTGCTAGTTGCCATCAGTCAGAGTTCTTTTAGGCCTACCAGGGACAATGAGCCAGAAGCTGGACCCCTCTAAAGAGGTGCATAAGAGTAGTGGCACTGATCAAATTGTCAGTGAATTTTAATAATGTCCGTCACCACTGGGGAAAGCGTCCACAAAGTCAGCAAGACAAAACATACTGCTGCTGTTTATAAGGAAGTATCAGTGCCTCAAACTTGCCACAAGAACTCCCCAATAATATAAACACATAGTCGAAAAGTTACGAAACTAGCACAAGCTCATTCGTCCAACCACCTCCCTCGTTTGGTGGGGGAGGAAGGCAGACCAGACCAGTCGGCTGCTCCACCCTCAGTTCTATGATGGGAAAAACCATCCCTGACACCCTGGGGAAGGGAGGGTGTCAGGGAGCCACCGGAGCTCGCCTAGACATTGGCATTTCATTACATTCAATGCTTGTTTTCTGGGGAGCCTCTTGTGGCTCCCACAAAAATTCTGGCACCGAAATAGAGCAGGTCAACCTGGACTCCCAAGACTTAAATGGGGCAACTATTTAGGGCCAAACTGGGGACCCACTGCATATCCCATATAATCATACATGTATAATATAATCTAATCTTTCAGTTTTGCTTTTTTTATAATTACAGTACTGTATCTGTTTACACTTGTGCATCGTCTGTTTTGTGAGCTCCTTTCAGAAATTCACATTTTTCATGTTCTGTACATTAATTCATGAAATTGTGAACTTAGTAATTCTTGCACTATTTCAGACAATTACTGGGGATAAAGAGAACATGTCAGCTAACTTGAGCAGCCTGATGTCTCCTGATAATTCCCACCTAATGAGCACTCCGAAAGCTAATATGAGGCCTCTGACTCAGGCATATCAGACGGCTCATGCTGAACACGAGGTATGTTAGATGACTTACATTTACATTTTGGTAAATTAAACATTTGGTGGAATTAAAAAAACAAATAACGGGCAACACCGAAGCAAATACTTGTGAAAAAATAGCCATAGTCTATTTTAATAGGTGCTGTTTCTGTTTTAGAAGTGCTGGGTGGGCACGTTGATTTTTTTTTTTTTTTTTTTTTTAAAGTTTTCTGACAGCTGAAGGGAGCTGGCTGAAAGTCTCCTCTCTTCAGTTTGATGCTGTGTTGCCACTTCCTTAAGGATGTTCAGTTCCTGGAGGAAAGAGGGAAGCAAAGAAAAATATTTTAGTGTTTGACAATTGGGATTGTGGTCGATTGTAGTTTAGAATAAATGTCATGCTTTTGGTTCAGTATTGGGTTTATTGTTGATTAATTTATTACAAATAAATACAAAGGAGCAATCGTTACCTTACTGAACTTGACTAGGCACCTTACAACAGTACATTCCTTAAACTTTTTACTATGCAAGTTCAGACTTGGAAAGTAGCCTTTCAGTTACATTCATGGCCTTATTGTTCACCCAATTATTCTGGACTATATTAGTTTACTCATAAATTATAATACTGTATATACAGTAATCCTTTGCTTTGTAAGGAATGCACTCTTGAGAAAAGAATGTTTAAACCAAACTTGGTTTCACATTGTTAAATGTAACACACGATGGATTTACAGTGTGAGAGGATTTAAATCCTTTCCTGCACCAGTCATGTGTCCATGACACATGACTGCTCAGTTGGGGAGCCTGTCGTCCGAGCGGACAGCACGCTGGACTTGTGATCCTGTGGTCCTGGGTTCGATCCCAGGTGCCGGCGAGAAACAATGGGCAGAGTTTCTTTCACTCTATGCCCCTGTTACCTAGCAGTAAAATAGGTACCTGGGTGTTAGTCAGCTGTCACGGGCTGCTTCCTGGGGGTGGAGGCCTGGTTGAGGACCGGGCTGTGGGGACACTAAAAAGCCCCGAAATCATCTCAAGATAACCTCAAGATAATCATTCAATGCACACTCCATACCTGTGAACAAATCCACAAGAGCACTTGACGTGCCGTGACGAGGATTCGAACCTGTGTCCGGGAGCATCCCAGACACTGCCTCAATTGACTGAGGTACGACAGGGTAAAATACCTGTGTTTATAGGTCAATGGAAAGATTAGTAGAACAATACTGTACAAAGACAGGTATATTGCACCTAAATTCAGTTCAGGTTTGATTGCCATATATTAATATGGACGTAATTCACTTGAACAGGTACAGAGCCCCAGAATTATAAGTCTGAAATATTGTGTATGGCCAGATATGAAAAATATGAATATATGGCTAGAAATATGAAGATTGATTGTGAAAACTTAATTTACAGTTACAGTATTGGAAAGGCAAAGAGTAAGAGTTGACATGGTTAAGTGTACAAATGGATGAAAGGTTTTAATGTAACAAAGGGATATTAATAAGATGCAAATGTATCTAGACAAAATAGAACACTAAACGATCAATAAAAATTGGGTAAATTTAGATTCGGAAAAGACCTGGGCAAATATTGGTTTGGGAATTACATTAATTTTTGGAACAAATTACTTGGTAATATAATAGACTCTGGGGAGTTTTCAAGGTTAGGTTAGAGACACGGTGAATGAGTTTGGGTGGATATAAATAGGGGCTGCCTCATATAAGCCAATAAGCCTTCTGCAGTTTCCCTTATTCTGATGTTCTTAGGACTATGTAGTGATATATTCCTCAAAACATTGTATATTTGTAGAATGAAAATTTTATTGGAAAAATACAATGCATATTATGCAACAAATTTTATTATGTAATGTTAAAATAGATTTTAATTTAAATAAAAGATTTATAGGCACAATAAATTAGGTTACTTTTAAAAAGTAACAACCCTCAGTTTGGAAAATCTTGTACAGTACTGTACATGTCGGCTAACATTGTGGGAAATATTAGGATGTGTTCCAGATGTCTACCAAAGTCAGCTTTGTTCTCAATACATCTCCTATTAGATTAATTTTATTCAGGTATTAGTCACTGAACAGCATTAATCAAAACAATATTAAATCTAATTGCAACTCGGTTACTATAGCAGTGAAGCTTTGTGAGCAGGGACCCCTTCAAGGATTTTGCTTTGTGTTGAGGAGGACTTGTATATGATTCTCTGGGGTTGGTGGGGATTGCCTCCTCTCTTGCCCCTCCAGGCATTGTACATGAGAAGGAAACCAACGTAGGGGTCCCACTTGGATCATTGGACCACTTGTCCGGGGGATCGCATGCAAAGAGCCGTTCTTGGAGATAGGTTTGGGTGTCTGCGTTGGGCTAGAGGGAGACAGCTCTATGCATTGGTGTTGGAAAATGTGCAATGCAGTAGGACTTCTGTTGAAAAAAGGGAACAATGGTTTTGGACAACGCATACTTTCCTGCACCAGCCAGCGCTCGGCCACCCTTGCTGTCCTGGTATGTTGTTCTCTTGGCTCTGAGGCCCAAACTTAAAAAAATTGGATGTCTGGTAAACGAACTCACTCCTTCACTCAGGCTCATGGGGCAGACTGTGATGGAAAATCGGGCTCCATAGCTCCGGCTTTGGTTGGCCCAGATGCAGCTTCATCTTTGGTTCACCCTACTGATCCTCTCCATTCCATTGCCACTTCTTGGTAGGCATGACTCCCAAGTCCCCAGTCTCCAGTGGTTACTAGCTCATCACTTGGAGGGACTTTGGTTATTACAACTGTGCCTTTTAACCCCCCCTCCCTTTCTTAATTGTGGTACTCAGTGCTGTCCTCACAATCAAACCTGTGCATTTCTTTCAACCACTGCTACACACCATGATCTGTTTGCCCCTCTGTACCTGAATATTTTGATATGTCACAATGACCTCGCCCATCCTGATGATTTACTCTTAGAAATATCTTGACTGTGGATATGTTACCTTTAATCCCCATCCAGACTAGCCCATGTCATCGAGGCCCCTTGTAAGGATGTAGCCAAATGCCTAGCTACCTTGTCTTGCATTGGCGAGATCCTGGTTCGGGTCTCCAAAAATGTCAAATTAAAGGCCAGCATAGTCATTTTCCCACACCATGTTGCAACTGGGGACAGGACTGCCATGAGGATATTAAATGCTGTCATCCTTGAGGCCAAGGTTATCCTATCCTCCAGATTGATAATATTCACTCAACCCCTTTACAGTTGTCACTGTCAATCCCTTAGAGGAGTAAAGACCATTTTTTATTGTTGGAATGTCCCGTCATTTGATAATTCTTGCTAGTGCCAGATGCTCCATTCAGGAAATGGGCCCCCCTCTCAATGCCTCTGCAATAGATGCTGGAAATATGGGTATGGAACCTTGAAGTGTAATAGTGAGGTGTTCTATTGCCCCTTGTGTGGTACATCTGGCCAGTCAAGGTCAGTTGTTGTTCTCCAAGCTCACTGCATCATTTGTGGTGATGCCCATCTTGCCTTTTCCTGCATGTGCATACATGCATGACAGAGAGATTTCCTGGTTTCACCACAGCCAAAGTAATTTAATTTTTTTTTTTTTTTTTTTTTTTTTTTTTTTTTTTTTTCTGTGATCAGGGAATGCATTTTCACAATACAGTTGTGGGGGATTCTGACTCGTTGGATTTTATTTATTTTAATTATTGGTTAATTTATTTATTTAATGAATTCTAATTTATAATTAATTTTGGTAGTGGACTCTGTGTTTGAGTGGACTGTGTTTAAATTGAATTCTCCCATTAGTCATATCCTACACAAGTTGGGGGGGGGGATTATTAATTATAGTCTATCAATCAAAAATTATCAATTGACAGGAAAATTTGTACTTAAGTGTAAGTGTCACGAGATAAAAAAAGTGTTAATAGAACACCATCTTACTCCTTAGTATATGAACTGCATTGTCCCACTTAGTTATGCACCTCCTTATAGAATGTCCTGATTTTCAGAATGAACATATGTAAATCTTGCTTTCCCTAATGTGCCTCAGGTGTTTCATGGCCCTCGATAGAATCTATGGTTACCTTTGATATCACTTGCCTTGTTTTCCTTTGTTCTTGTATTAACATTGAGTGATATTTAGTACCTTTCGAATATCGCCTTTTAAATACAATATGTAGTATTATGTACATTGCTAGATAATCTTCCCAGCTTGGCATTATCTTTTAATAAATACTTAATTCCTGGACAGGGAGTGTTGATTGAGTGCCATTTCTTATCTACCCAGGTTATAAAAAGAATTTGTGGGTCATGTTACTACAGAGAAAACTAATAGACTAAGGTTTATGATAGTGTTAGAAGTGAGAGCTCCAAGTACAAACAAAACTCAAGTCGTTTAATCATTATTTATCTTCGAGTGTGTGTAAAAATAGTTTGGTTTTTGTCTCGATATACCAGGTAAGACAGATTGGTACCTTCCTAAATTTCCTGATGCATGGCTATTTATTTTCCTTAATGAACACCACTTTGTACAAAACAGATTACTTTTAGTACTGTAGTTTAATATGATTTTGAAGCCCTGAATATTCAACCTGCAGTTGTAGCATTGGACCATAACCTTACATCTTGCCATAATGAAAATTGATATGGTTTGTTTTGCAGGTGATACCCAAAGTCAACACACCAAAGAAGAACGACAGCTTGGTTTCTCGAGCAATGCAGCACATACTGGGAATGTAATTGGAATTCCGTTTTCTATTTTTTCCTCCTTTTGTTTTTCCATCTTGTTGCAGAGACATTGCATCCTTCTTTGTTGTCCATTGTATCTATTATCTTCTACAACTCAAATTTTATTAATGCTTTGATATTTCTGATGTATGTAATAGTACAATTCATGTGAAAACCTAGTGCAATGTTAGAAGAATTTTTTTAGCATTAAACCACCTGAAGGAACACTAAATATCATGCTCCAGAATGTTTGCCAAGGATCTACATGCAACGTTACAGGTTGAACATACACCAATTTCTACACATGTTTACTGGATAGGTAATTTTTATTAGTTTGTCTACAGTAAATGATTTATTGGGACAATACAAATACAAAAAATAATAATTTTTAATAAAGATTTTATGTTCATATGTATTGAAATTCATGTATGATTAGTGCTCATTGATGCAGTTATAATACTATATCTTTGTGTATTTTAAAATTACTCGCTCGTGCGTGCGCATATTTTCAATATCAAAATAGACTAAAAATTTGAGCACCATTCTGTTTACTTCACACATGTTACAAAACTGTAATGCCTATTGTTGGCCATCTACAAAGAGTATTGTATGCTGCTACATGCAGTGGTTTACCTTTTACTTTTCCTAAATGACCTACAAAAATAAACATGCTTTTATTAATGTCGTTTTTAAATACTACCTAGTCATCAGATGTGTAATTTAAATAAAAAGTCTTGTGTAAGAATGTAACATGCAAGATCAGAAAAGAAAGCTACTTTTTTGCAATATTTCTCCAGGATAACCACTTATCTACACAAGAATACTAATTCTGGGTAGGTTCAAGCTGCCGTAATAATTTTGCATTGCAAGAACTAGTGATTTTTGCGCAAGCCAATTTTCTGCAATTGGTTTCGATCTTAAAAGCTGTTTAAAATGTGAATGCTTTGGTTACATTGTACTGTACAGAAAATTTCATCAATGTATTCCTAAAGGAATACTGTACTTTGGTTTAATTAAATTTTTTTTTTCTCGGGGAGGAGGGGGGGGGATATACCATATAGATTTTCATGGATTTGTTTTTGTTTATTTTGGCAGTTTGTGTTGTCTGGAGAACAGTGTGGGTGGTAGTAAGTACTCCTGTATGTGAATTGTGGTGATTGTTGATTGATTTGAGTGGGTGGGTGTGAGTACACATTGACACTATTATGTTGCCTACTACAGTAGTATACAGGTCTAGATTAGCTGCCTGGTTCCCTGCATCATAAAGGCAGCAAGTCTTACCATTATCAAATGGTGCTCTCTCCATTCCCTCATAATCCTTGATTAACATGCGTGCACACACCTAATAAAACCACAAAAAAATCAAAATGCCCAACAAAACATTTCAAGACGCCCCCCCCCAAAAAAAAAATACAAAACGCTCGACGAAAATTCTAAAATGCTCAACAAAATAAATCCAAAATGTCCAACAAAAAATTTAAAATGCTCAAAGGAAAAAAATACCAAGTGCCCAACAAAAAAGTGGATTACTCTGTCCAAGCATGGAGACCTATACTGTACCGTCAAAGGGACATGTACAGCAATACAATTTTGGGCAACACGTTGAGAATGATAGTTTTATGTTTATTTAGTGTAGTTGGATGTTAAAAACGGCATGGCACATCATGATGGGATGAGATGAGGATGCGTGTTATGTGCTTTTAGTGGAGTCGACTCTACTTTCTTTGTTGCCGGAGTCGGGTAGGGCATAGTGTAGAAAGTAGCCGAAGATGAGGCCTGTAGCAGAGACCTTCATAAAGGCCGGGGTAGAGAGCTCAAAGGAAGGCAAAAGTGAAGAGCTATAATGAGAACGGGAAGAGAGCGCCAAGCCATTATGACTATTGGAGAGGATCAAGGATTTGGAATGTGATGGGGGGGAAGGAATAGAGCAGAGCTTGGATGAGGTTTGAGGGCAGGGAGCTTGAACAAGACTAGGATTGGCTGTCTGCTCTCAACCCATCCTCGGACCAAGTTCATTCCATCCAGTGGTCAACCCCAAAGACGCATTCATGAATTTTAACGTGCTGTTCAGTCAAAACAGGAATTATGTCAAATATAAATTAGTATTATTTTATATTGCCATATTGTATATGTTTAGGCACTGGTTAGGTTAGGTGTTTTAGGTTCAGTTGGGGATTATTTGTATTTGTAGTACGTGGGTGAAGCATTTACAACGTTGTGGTTCGAACGAAATTCGTCAGTGAAGCACTTGTTCCGGAAGTGTTCAGACGTCATCAGTTGTCATGTGTAAACCGTTTTAATTTTATAAACCGGGTTTGGTGGGTGCATGGAATGGACTTTGGGTTTTTGTTTGGAGGACGGGCTGCTGCTGTTGTGCGAGGTTTGTAGTGTCTGGTGTGCAGCCTGTCCTCCAAAGACCCAAATCTTTTGAATATTCCGGGACGCAGACGGTGCTAAATAGTCTTCCTAGCTTGGTGACTTTTAACAATGACTTACTTCCAGGGCAGGAAGGGTTAATGGGGCACTAATTCTTAACTAGATTGTAACAGCTAAATGAATTTGGGGTTCAGTTCCTGAGCCAATATATGTTTATTATATGTCTGTAACATTTAATATTATAACCTCCACGGAATGGATGTGGGGTATTTAATAAATGAACAAACTGAAAAATGACTGTTGCTCTATTTGTCCTGTAGAATACTCCCACTGTTAGTTTCCCGTCATTTTGAGCTAGCATATTTGCACCATACAGATTATGAGGATCCCTTTGTGCTTAATACCTCGATCCCCGACAGTCCAAGTGGTTGGGCACCATTCCTTTCCCCCATTCCATCCCAAATCCTTATGGGCCCTTCCAAGTGCTATATAGTTGTAATGGCTTGGTGCTTTCCCCTGATAGTTCCTTCCCCCCCCTCGAATTGCTGGTTGAAAGTGCCCTTAACGTGATTACACTGTGTAATTATAGTACTTAATAAAACATACACATTCAACTGTGTATGCTAAGAGACTACTGTAATATAATCCTTTGTTTATCTTGACAATTTAAATAATATTGCTATTATAAATTAATATTTTAGGAGGATCCTCGACAAGCCGCCGGCTTGCTGTCGGCGTCGAGGTCACGAGGATAAGTGGCCTTTCGGATAAATCAGTTGTGGCAGGTGTATAATAAATCAGTTTTTTTTATTAACAAGTTTAGGTATACAGAGCAATGTGCTGCTACCCTAGTAGTAGGCATCCACCAGTCTCAGGAGACCCTATTCTGTATGAAAGATTACACAGTGTATATCAAAAACTAGCCATAAGTTCAGCTGAAAATGCAGCGAAGTCGTAAATCTGCCAATTAAGTTACTCCAGTTTAATTAAAATACGTACAGTTAGAACCAGTCTTTAGGAACAGTTTGGGGACTATTATTATTGACAAGCCGTCGTGTGGCAGCTCACAGGTAAATTTATAGACGAGTTTATAAATTTATAGAGACCACTCCAGACCGACAACCAGAGCACAACTCTATGGTTTCCCGAGACTGGTGGATGTTTACTAATTACCTATATAGATTAATCTTTAGCTTATAACACTGTGTTAAGTACAGTAGCCTACGTCTTCGGCTCGCAACCGAGGGTCATGTGGGTTCAACCCCTGGGAATGTAGGACAAACGGTTGGACAACCTTCTAAATACAAATATTTATTCAGGTAAAGTACATACAAGGTGAGATACAAAAAAGTTGATGGATTTATAGATTCTTTTCACTTGATGCCTCGACTGTTTACCAAGCATTAAATAGGTACCTGTGAGTTGCGTCCTAGTTAGTTAGTTTAGTTCATTTATTGAATTAAACTAGCGTCTTAGGAAAGATTAGTAGCTGACCCAGAGAAACCCAGGCACAAGCGGGAATGGATACAGGTCACCGTACACAAGACGATATGCCAACGGATTTGAAAACCTAGCTCAACTTAACCCAACCGAGCGAAATACTGTCCAACCTTAGCTAAATCCTAGCACAGCCATATACACAGTTCTATCAAACAGAAAGCGAGTTTTGTGGAATCGTGTCGTGTGGGAAACGACCATTGAAATTGAAATTGAAATTGAAATAAGTTTATTGAGGTAAAATACACACAAAGGGATGAGGTAGCTCAAGCTATTCTCACCCCGTTCAGTACAAAGTGTTAATACATACATAGACACACATCACAAGCAATAAACGTATTACCGAACATTCTGAGAGATAAACATATACATTTCCTAAAACGATCATAACCCCGCGGGAATTACTTGGCCGTGATGACGTCATCAGACAAGAGCCTGAGGTAAACATCTCCGAGTGAGAGCGGCCGCTGAGGTGAGCCCAGACGTGAGCCCAGACGCTGCACGGTACTCCACTCTCTACCTTCCCTCCTCCACCTCTCATCATGAGGCGAGCACAAAATGGTTAGTCTTCTCGCTATCTACACTTAACCAACCATAACAATGTTGTAATGACTTCTCTGGCGGGGAGACAAGCCACCACCTGGCCCACTGGATGAATTACCACCTCTTAACTTTACCTGAGGGACACTGTCTCTAGTGGCCTCGACGAGGACAGGAAGCCGGCGGCTTGTCCAACTCCCCCCTTCCCCCCTCATTTATCTTGATTTTATTGAGCTGGATTTTAAAATTCAATAGTTTTGGCAGTAGGACATCTAATTAAATTTTTAGCTTTATCTTGCAGTTGTTTGGTTCCATATAGATTATGTAGTTCGGTTTTGGGCACCATATTAAAGTCGACTGAAATTTCTTAGAAAATATACAGAGAAGAATTCCAAAGCTAATTAGGCATATTAGAAATTCCCCATATAAAGGGAGATTCAGAAAACTACATTTGCTTTCTAGAAGGGTAAAGATTAAGATGGAACATGAGTGCAGTACACATATACAAATGCAGGAAAAAGGGGGAAATTATTAAGATGCTACACATACTTTAAACCTGAAACAATACATATATTTGATATATTATAATGCTACGGGTACTAGCACCTGTACAAGAATATAAGAAATCTTGTATATATTCTAAAAAAAAAATTAAATAAAAAAAATCGGAAAAACTAGTGGTTTAAAAATAGGCTTTTAATTTATTAAACAAAAAATAAATTACAGTATAACATAATACTGTAGTCAATTGATTCAAGAGAATTTTAGACATTAGCAAGTTTGGTCTAATAGTCCTTCTGCAACTTCATTTATACTTATGCTCTTGTGTTCCAATATTTATATTATATTATACTGAATTGCTGAATAAAAATTGTAGTCTCAATTATTTTAATGACTCGTTTTTTCACAGCTAATATGGGGCCATATGCCTACAATCAGTATGGCAACAACAGTGATACACAAAGAATCTCTGAGGAAAATGAGGAAATGACAGTACAACTAAAAGAGAAAGTTAAGGCACTGAAATCGGTAAGATGATTGTGAAGAACACTTTAGCTAATGTACTACAGTATGGCTATACAATATGTATATTCACTTGCAAATTTGTGACAATAATCAAATGCACCGTTAAAATCTCACTCGGTTCTGCTCCAAGTAACTTTTGGCACTTCTTGAAGTAGTTGTAGAGTATGAATAGATTATCTACTGCATATTTAAGTGGCATGAACTTAACTCTGAATTGAAATAATACTTACATTTTCTTTGCAGTTGACAATTGACATAGGGACAGAAGTACGAAATCAAAATACAATGTTGAGTGATATGGTATGTATCGTCAGAATAGCTTATCACTGAATTCATCATTTCTGAATTATTTTACATAAATTTGTAAGGTGTTTAAATTACAAGTTTTCATTCTAAGTTTACAAATTTATTTGAAGTAATTTTTATCTCGATTGTTGGGATGTATATGTTGGGATTAAACATCTTTGCTACCGGGTTTCATGTGAAAATACAATTTTCTTGATAAAGTGCTAAATTGATCTCCCTCGTGTTTCATTACTCTAAATGTTAGAGCCATTTCAACAGCACTTTAATCACTTGTTCAAATTTTTTTAAGCCCATTCAATTTGCATGCATTGACAAAAATGTGAAAAGAATGATCATTGCCATAACAAGTATACACAAGTGGGAACAAAAAGGATATCTCTACACCTGTCTAAGACCATATCACTGACCTAGCACTTCAACCCATCCTCTCACATAGTACACCACATTTTGACATTAAAATTCCAAATGGACAAATAAAGGTGTACTATAAATCATAGTAGCTCACAAACACTGTTTTCTATGCATGGTCAGTAGGTTTAGTTAGGTTCAATCGTTTTAGTACATCATTTTCTGTTTGTTGTGGATACTTGAGAGGATGGGCTAAGCACTTAGTCCAGTCAGTGAGTTGCCTAGTAATTAAATCAAACAGGCTCACACACAATCAGCAAATATAGACACTATGTCTATTTGAACGTAGACAGTCAGATTTGCTCAGTGGATCAGTCAACACTAGATATCATCAGATAAAATTATTGCCTCATGAGGATGCAGTGTTGCACCTATCTAAGACTTGTAAAAAGTTTCTGAACCAGCCACCCTATCACCCTATGGCCAGGAGGTGCTCGGCTAGATAGCCAGTTAGTTATTCAGCTAACTAATGGACTACTATATTATTATTTTTGTTGTAATAGTATTTAATGCAAATCAGCATTAAATCTGCTAAGTTAAGTATGCCAGTATGGGATGGTTTAGTAACCTATTTTCCATTTATAACATTTTGTTTATTAAATTGTATTGAGAGTACCAAACAAATGACTTGGTCATGAAAATTTAGAACAGTGTTTATAATCGAATGAATCTCCCTGTAGCATACTCCCAGTATTCGATATATACTGTACTTTAAGTAATCATTATACTATACATCCTGTAACATATAATGCTCCCTGTAGTTATTGCCAGTTGCAGCTCATGGAAAAAGTTGCCATATGTAACACCAATAAATCTTAAACTATTGTATAGCATGGAACGTTTATTTTTGTCTCGTTTTAAAAAAAATATTCAAAATTCAGTTATAAATATACTGAAAATAACGTATAAAGACTTCTTGTTATGACACATTTATTAGTTGCTTATTATTGTAGTGTGAGGTTGGTGGTGTCATATACCTGGCAGTGTGTGGGGGGGGACTGCAGCTCAGCAGCTCCTGTGGGCGAGCCGGCACTGGTTATTGCACCACCTGGAATGCATTTCTTAATTTTCACTGAACAGTCATAATATATCTGGCTACAGACATTTTACCCCTAGATATTTTAATATATTTAAAGTATTTAAAAGATACTTTGAAATATTTTTGTTAGTTTGCCTATTGTAAATGTGAAGAAGTCATCACTTGCTTGCATTAGAATCAGTGTTTGAAAAGAATGCAGATTGTCCTTAGCATGTACAAAGAAGTTAGAGAGTACAAGAACCATTAAAGTTTTTGGAAGTGAGAGAGCAGTTGGACCAAAGTTTTTGGCAGTGAGTGTAACCAGGTCATTAACCCTTCCACTGAACATATTATATATACAGTAATGTACTGTATATGATTTTTGCCTAACTGACTGCACTGCACATATCATACATACTGCATAAGAGTTGGGGAACTGCATAAGATTTAAAAGTACCGTGGGTACGCAGGCTCACATCAGCTTTCTCAAGGCTTCAATAAACTGTCTCCGTGGTGCAGTGGTAAGACACTCGCCTGGCGTTCCACGAGCGCTTTGTCATGGGTTCGTATCCTGGCCGGGGAGGATTTACTGGGCGCAAATCCTTAATCCAAAGCCTCTGTTTAACTCGACAGTAAAATGGGTACGATTAGTACGAAAAACGATTCTTCGTGGCGGTTGTATTCCAGGGACCTGCCCGAAACGCTACGCGTACTAGTGACTGTACAAGAATGTAACAACTCTTGTATATCTCAAAAAAAAAAAGATGCTATTGTGAACAAAAATTATGGGCACTGTGCCTGGGTATGAAGGCCTCAGTATAAGTAAGCAACCAAGGCTGGCGCATGCAGCATGAGCTAATAGCACTGCCGTTCAGTTTGTGACTACAATATCTTTAAAAAATTCCGAAATATGTAAGTACAGTAACTGCAATTATTTTGCGATAATAGTACAGTAGAAGAGCCTAACTGTGATAAAAGGCTTTACAATGTTCAGATATCGGTAAACACAATGCTGTTTATGAGGTTCACAGTGCTTAGCAGGCAGGCACAACATACTGCCATTGTTTGGTCCATCTGAAAATCTTGAAATGACAACTTGTGCTGCTTTACAAACTAAACGTATGGAAAATTAATAATTTTCAGGATTTAATGACCAGTATTCTGGTAATAGCAGAATTGTGCCTAGAATTAGTGAAGTGCATAGTACAGTTTGTTGGGAGGAGGAATTTTGTTGAGTGAGGTGGCATGGACCCCTACCTTGCTAACTGATCTATATTTTCCTCTATTATGTCTTGCTACATATATTTCTCTCTAACACATGCACGTGTACACACACACACCCCCAGGAAGCAGCCCGTAGCAGCTGTCTAACTCCCAGGTATCCATTTACTGGGAGGTGAACCGGAGCATTAGGTGAAAGAAACTGCCCATTTCTTTCTGCCTTGGCCGGGAATCAAACCCGGACCCTTAGGACTATGACCCATGAGTGCTGTCCACTCAGCCATTAGGCCCCCTAATAGCCTCTCAACCATTAGGGAGGTTAATAGCCCATGTGTTGGTGCAATGCTGTTAGGACTCACCAGACCAGCTTAGTGGTTCATTATGGTGCACAAAAATGTTGATACTGTAGATCTATATAAGGCATGTATATAGTGTAATAAGAGCAAAAACAGTATGTTTTATTGTTCAAAGAGTATATTATTCAACTGATATTAGTGAGATGAATATGTACAAATATTCTATACATTCTGATACAAAAAATATTGACAACCTAATACAGTACAACATTGCACTTAAAAAATCCATGGTAAAAACATTCAAAATGCGAAGAAAATATATATTCAATGCATACTCTGATTTCACAATCCATTCACATGTTGCATGATTTTTAGTATTGTATGAATTTAATAATGGTTTTGAGTGATGATACAGTAATATGATACTATTAACAGTATTTTGAGTACATTTGAGTGTGCACATAAAATGTGGGATGTTGACCATGCCTACTCTATTTGTTTATTAACTTGGTCTTTCTTCATCTAACAAGAATTTTGTTCCACATCCACTCAAGCATAATATGAGATCTTGCATAGTTGTGTTGACATTAAAAAGAGGGCTTTGATAGACCTGACCATGGTGGTTTTACAAAAGGGTTGTTAAACTACTCTATTTCAATCATTTGGTTTCTCTTACATTGTCCCCTTTAATTTTATCTTTGTTATTATTTAATTGCCAAACTATTTTAAGTTCATGCTTCAGTAATTTCAGATAAAAATAGTTATTTTGATCTGTTGTACATCATTGCTGATTATGATTGTCTTTTTTCAGGATGACGATTTTCTGAAATCTGGCAATTTCTTGGAGCGTAGCATGAAACGTTTAGGTATCATCGGCAGTGGCTCTCATAACTACCACTTGCTCATCCTCTTTGGCTTTTGCTTTTTTGTCTTTCTTCTGTTGTGGGTGGCTTTAAAATTTAGGTGATAATTTTTTAAGGAAATAATTTTGTTTACTGTACTGTCCTTAAACTATGGTAAGATTTTTTAAATCATTGTTATGTACAATTACCGGTAACAAATTTTTTATATAGGTACAGTACTGGAATTGTATTTTGAAAATGCTGAAATGCTTACATTTAAGATACTGTGCAGTATATAATTACTTTACAGTAAGAATGGTGTCTTTCTCCTATTTTGTACAACTAGACTATATATATACAGTATATTTTTTCTCCATAATAGCATTTGTAAGCATTGGTCAAGTGTATTGATGAGCAAAGCTACATGACTCGGTGCCACCTAGAAATGACATTGGCATATTTAAATACAATTCAAAATTTTACATATCTATATACTGTAGTAGGGTATACATTACCCCATTTCCCACTTTCATGGGATCGTGAGTAACATTTTTTATTGTACAGTATTGTCATTGAAGGAATTAAAAGTAACACTTAACCCATAAAAAATTCTAAATGTTCTTCTCTTAAGTCAAATGTTATATTATAGTACACATAGTGCTCTAAATCTAGCTAAGGAATATCTATATATATTCAGATAAAATTTATGATGTCATAGAAATAGATTTAAGTATGATTGTCACCTTATTTATTAAAATATTTTTGGTGAAGACTGCATTAGTATTACAGTACTGTACTACCATTATATATGTATAATACAAATTGGAGAGTAATTGGTCTCTGTTTGTGATTATTAGTTCCACAACATTTCTGTAATTCTAAAAAGTTTTATTATTGATATTCTAGTGTGCCCTGCTTTGGGCCTATGTTCATACTGTATTGTAATCCCCATAGATTTGAAGAGATTTATTTTGTGATAAAACATAATAAAGTTATCCTACCATGTATTTGTTTAAGTCAACAGCTCACAATATTTAATAACATTTCTTAAATTTGTGTTATTGTATGCATCAATGAATTGTTCTTAACCACAATCAATAAACGCTGAATAACGTCTTGTTGACCCTGAACCTCGGAATCAAATATTGTACTGCCATTAAAAAATTAACTGCATGTAGTTAATTTTTATACTTTAAATTGCTCTTCGTCTCCTGCTTTCTTGTTGTCAATCTTCCTTTGTAGTTGTTGTTGACTCGTAGTGCCTTCATGGCTCTCTGGTCCTTTAATCCAGTTCATCCAGTGGTTGTCGAAATCTAGCATTGGCTGTTTCTTGTTCACAGCAAATTTAAGTCGGATGAGTTTTGTTGGGTTCCCAGCCATATTGGTGTCTCTTTAATTGAGCATGCGGATGCTGCCGCCAGGGAAGCTGTCCGCTTTTGTCCCATCTCATAAAGGTATTCCTTATTCTGACTTGTACCCTGTTATCCATTCCTCTATCCTTACCCGTTGGCAGGCTTGTTGGTCGTCTGTTACTGGTAACAAACTCCGTACTCTTAAAAGTTGTGTGTCCTCGTGGCCGTCCTCCTACCACCGTAACCGGCGATGGGAAACGGCTCTGGCGAGGTTGTGCATTGGCCATACTCGCTTAACTCATGGTCACTTGATGGAGCGCCGCCCTGCTTCTTATTGTCCTAATTGCATTGCTATCTGTGTGAAATAGTTTAAATCCATTTATTTGATATTCAGCTAATAGTTCTCTATTTTCTACATTCATCCACATTTCGGTAAGTGCAATAATATCTATTTTTTCTGTACAGACAAGAGCATTTAACTCGTTTATTTTGTTTCTTAGACTTCTACTGTTAGTGTAATATACCCTAAGTGAATTGTTATTTTGAGGCCCTTCTCTTTCCCTAATCATTTTGCCAATTTGTTTCTCCAACAAACAGATAATTTATTACTTCCTTCCGCCCTATCAATTCCCATACCACTATCTACTAACAGTTTAAACCCAAACAAATACCTCTAACCACTGGTTCCAACGAGTTCGCAACAGCAACAACCCCAGCTCTCGATTTAGTGGACTTACCTGGCACGGGAGAGGGGCCGGTGTGCCCCGTAAATTGATTGATAAAGATTAAGCCACCCAAGAGGTGGCATGGGCATGAATAGCTCGTAAGTGGTACAATTTTTTGTCCAGTAAATCTATTCAGTGTTCTGAGGTCGCATTTAATCGTCAGGCTGGTATCGCGGGAGAGGATACTGCTTGACAGTCTTTATGAGGGTATCCAGCTGCTGGACATCTTTTTGACCAGGAGAGTGGCTGTGTTGATGGCTTCAGGGTGGCCACTGCAAGATTCGGGAACTCTTAAAGCTCTTCTGAAGTCGTTGGTTGCTTCACATTCCAGAAGATAGTGAAGTACAGGTAATGGCTTTTCTGTGACTGTTTGGCAGAAGATGCACTCTCTCTGTCGGGGTTCACCAATCTCCCAGTTGCATCTGTAACCTAGACGTAGTCTATATAACCTAACTGCTATTTCCCTGTGGATTCCTTTTGGGATATTTAACCTTTCTAATTTGGTTGCCTGAAGATACCATGTTGCAGATGGTGAACCTTCAGCTATTCTCTGGTGTAGGTAGGCTTTGTTGAGATGCGAGAGTTTTTTGGTGATGTTTTTTATGTTCTCTAGGCTGGGTTGAATTGTTTTACGTATCACTGGATGACGAGTTGCCAATTTAGCAATTTCATCAGCTTTCTCATTTAATGGGATTCCAACATGGGATGGGATCCAGTTTAAGGTTATGTTGAGTCCTTTGCCTTTAGCGACTGCTCCAAGATACAAAATGGTGGTAGTTATTTCCACGTTATCTTAACACTGTTTTTTGTCCTAGTATTTGAAGGGCAGCTTTTGAGTCTGTGTGTATGATTGCATTTTGAGTGTTTTGTGCAATCACATATGCGAATGCTTGTTGTATGGCAAACAGCTCAGTTTGGGTTGATGATACTAGTCCTCTCAGTCTCCAGTATGCCTGTACGCTGGCCGTGCAAAGAGCAGCGCCAGCACTCTCATATTCTGTGTCCACCGATCCGTCTGTGAAGATGTGGGTGGCTCCTGCTATGCTATACATTTGCTCTTCTATTATGCGCTTTAGGATTGTTGGACCATAGGCAGCCTTTTTCATTGGGAGACTTTCTATTACTATTTTGAAAGTAGGCTCTTCCCACGGTGCGGAAGGAGTGTAATTTGGGTGTGGATGATCACCCTCACTATCAAGAATCATGCTTTTTAAATGTAGTCTGTTTAGGACTTTTCCTGCTCTTGCAGCCTAAGAGTTTCCATTGTTTTGGCCTAGTCCAACCACCAAGGCCTGCCGTACTGGGATTGGATCAGAAGAAATAATTATCTTACTGATAATTGTAGGTGTCCTTTGTGATATTCTTTCTTGTAGAGAGGGCAAACCCGTCTCCAGTCTAAGAGTTTCAAGTCTTGCAGTTGCTCCTCCAGAGAGGGAGGTTAGCAACCTGAGGATTGCCGTCCGGGCCGCAGTTCACTCACTCAAGTAAGTGACCTCAGCATTAAAATTCATGTGTGTCCAGGATTATTCCTAGATACTGATAGGTGTCCACCCATTCAATTGGTTGACGCCGTAAATTGTTATAGATTCAGCTACTCGGAACAAGTTCCAAGTAGCACGGGCTATGGTGAGCCCGTAACTTACCTGGCACAGGAGCGGGGCAAGAAGCACGGGCTATGGTTAGCCTGGCCGTAAATTGATTGATTGATTGATGAAGATTAAGCAACCCAAAAGGTGGCACGGGCATGAATAACCCGTAAGTGGTGGCCCTTTTGGGCCATTACCAGTATCAAGAGCTGATACTGGAGATCTGTGGAGGTGCGACTGCACCCTGAGTGATGGAAGATGTCTCCCGTGAGTGGCCGTAAATTGATTGATTGATTGATTGATGAAGATTAAGCCACCCAAGAGGTGGCACGGGCATGAATACCCCGTAAGAGGACCGTAAATTGATTGATAAAGATTAAGCCACCCAAGAGGTGGCACGGGCATGAATAGCCCGTAAGGCCGTAAATTGCTTCTCGATTGCTTATATAATCGGACCACGCCTCACCTCATCGTCCTCCAATAGGTTGGAAGGAATGTTAACTGTCATTAGGGAAGAGGTATGAGTTTTGTCATTAGTGCTAATGAGAGTTTGCGAGTATATTATTTACATAATATACTCGCTACACTATAATTAATATTGTATATAATCTACTTACAATAGTTATTTTCAGGAACTCTACCCCAAAATTCTTTTAGTAAACTAGATCCATTCAAATAACACAAGTCATAAATAATTTAACGAAGTTTTTATCCACACCTAATATAAAGATTAGTTTATTGTTAAAATATTTTCAGAGAAGTATTTGAAGGAAACTATATAGCTAGAATACTTATCTCAAAGTAGAGAGATCACGACCTCTCCGAAGGGTGCAGTCACACCTCCACAGATCTCCAGTATCAGCTATTGATACTGGTAATGGCTCCAAAAGGTCACCACTTACAGGCTATTCATGCCCGGGCCACCTTTCGGGTGGCTTAATCATCATCAATCAATCAATCTCAAATTGGGCAATATTACATTCCAAGTTGGGCGTGTTTGTTGACATTCCTAAGGGTGGCACAGAGGGTCGTGGAGGCCCCAGCACCAGCAGCAACTCGCCGCCGCCACACCACGCTACAGCCTGCCTTGCTTACACAAACACACCTCTCCAAAATAGAGAAACTTCTCTGGTTACTGGTAAATGTGTATAATATTTCTTAGTGCTTAGAACAGAAAATAATATACACCCGTGGCGAGCGCCAGACCACCCCAAGGTGGGCCTGGCATTCCAAGCGAGTGCGCGGTAATACTGAAATGTGTATACTCTTTTTCACTTTGGTCACCTCAATTCTTGTCCTAGGTTTTTCATTTTGGTATCAATGTGTTCGCAATAGAATTCCCTACACGATATATGCATATAAAGTCCAAAGGCCCGGCGTACCACCTGCACCAAACCAAGAAATTGGCGGCGCGCGTTACCCTTGAGCGTGCAAGAGCAATGAAATGTGAATACTCTTTTCACTTTGGTCACCTCAATTCTCGTCCTAGGTCTTTCATTTTGATATCAACGTGTTCACAATAGAATTCCCTACAGGACTCTATGCATATAATATCCCAAACCGAAGCGCGGCCCACCCGCAGCCAAAAGCAGGCCATGCGATACCCAGGAGCAAACACCCATTGGCCCACCCGCTACACCCCACTAAGGAGAGTCCCCTTCCATTATAACAGCAGTTACCTTACCTTGAGGCAGTGATGACATCTCTCTCGTACATTTTGCAGGCATACCACTAGGACCTGGATGTGGCTCATTCCTTGCTTGTCTTACTAAGAAGCTGTCTATAGACGCTTGTTTTTCCCTACGTTTTAACACTTGTCTGTAGTGAGACATCACATTGTCTCACTATGAATGATCTTAAACGGTTAAACGATCTGCCGAATCATTTAACAACCAAGTACCCATTTAACTCTCGGGTAAATAGAGACTACAGATAAGGATTGACGCCCAGTAAGTCCCTCCTGGCCAGGATATGAACCCAGGACAAAGCGCTCGCGAAACACCAGGCGACTGTCTTAACACTATGCCACGGGGACTGTGACCACTATGCCACGGGGATTACAGACAAGAGTTCTTGCATTCTTGTAAAGCCACTAGCACGCATTGCACCTCGGGCAGGTCCTTGATTCTAATTTTCCCTGGAATACGACCCACCAAATCGTTTAAAAACCAGGTACCCATTCACTGCTGGGTAAACAGAGGATACAGTTAAGGATTGACATCCTGTCAATCCTCCCAAGCCAGGATACAAACTCGGCCCAAAGAGCGTGCGAAGCGCTGGGCGAGTGTTTTATCACTGCGCCACGGGGACTGCTCTTGGTTCTATGTTCACCTTTCTCTTTCCATCTGGCATGGTACACTGGTCGTCTTTAATCCCCTCCCACCCCTTGCTCTGTTCTCTGGAAAATCTAAGGGTTTTGGAGTCCGGGTTGCACTTAGCTGTGGTTTAGCTTGGACTTCACTGGGGGTCGCCCCTTCCACATTGGCAGTGTAGAAAGTTCAACCATCGCCTGGCCATTGGCTTGGAACCTTCAGAGTGTAGAGGTACTTTCCTGTCTATGATCAGGTATTAGGTGCGGAACTCGGTTATTCCCTAGGGTGTTATAGATACCATTTTGTCTGTAAGGTCTTTTATCAAATCTAATAGATAAACTGGGGGAAAACATGAGAATGGAAGTGGGGTCACTTAAGCAAAGGTGAGAGACATAAGGAATTATATTTTGCAATTTATATTTATGAACCATTAATTTAGCAAGAGGGTTAGTAGTCTTGAATTTTCCTTCTCTGTTCTGTTTGATGGTACTCACCTAGTTATGCTTGCAGGGGTTGAGCCTTGGCTCTTTGGTCCTGCCTCAACTGCCAATCAACTGGTGTACAGATTCTAGAGCCTATTGGGCTCTTATCAAATCTACATCTGAAACTGTGTATGGAGTCTGCCTCCACCACATGAATGCTTAATGCATTCCATTTGTTAACTACTCTAACACTATGAAAATTCTTTCTAATGTCTCTGTGGCTCATTTGGGTACTAAGTTTCCAACTGTATCCACTTGTTAGTGTTCCACCCATGCTAACGAGTTTATTTGTCCACCCTGTCAATTTCCCTGAGAATTTTGTAGGTGGTTATGTCTCCACTTACTCTTCTGTCTTCCAGGGACATGAGGTTTAACCTTTCCCTATTACACTAATCATGTGTGTATCTGTTAGATTTAGTAAAGCTTTTACAGGCAAGACATCATGTACATGTCGAAATGTCAAAACTACTCAACTTTTGTCTACATAATGCCGTCAATGTAACAACATAGTGCTCGTGGTATTATAGTATGTTAATATATACAGTTTGATTAGATTATAACATTCTACATCTTTATTTACCAACAAAGTACAGACAGTTTTATAATCATATTAATATATCGGGTAGTTACAATTATATGAATAATTAAACAGATAATAATTACTTTAACAGGTAACTATGGCAGATGACATTGATGACCTACTGGATGAGGTGGAAGAAAGTTTCACAAATTCTAAGTTAAGAAAAAAAGATAAAATTTGGTAAGTTTATTTGACTTAAGTTGCAGTCATGATTAATGGGCAGAGGAAACTGAGCTAGGAATTTTTGTAAATTGTAAATGTAATACATTTACATAAAAGGAGGAGCGATGAACACTAGCGTTACCAGTTATTTGTGACTACAGTATTTCGTTTTTGTCTGAAATTAAGCTATGGAGGAGGGGAAAAATCAATATTAAATACTTACATGTGCATTAATCTTTTACCATAGCTGAGAATTCTATGAAAATAGAATAATTTTTTGGAACTGTTGTTTGGTTGTTTCTTATAGAGCATATTCTACCATAATTTAATATTTTTCCAGCCCAAAACATAAACTAAGAAAAATAAGAGTGTGTTAGGGCACTTCTAGTGATATAAACTTAAATTCATATGGATGAAATAATCATAACATTTAACAGTTGTCAGGAGGGCTCGTAATTGTGGCTATTGGTGCTTGCTACCTTGCAATCTCCACCCAATTCAACCCACGCTAGGTCCCCGTGAATCGTATACAGTATTATTAAAGCTGGTGGTAATTAAATTAGACATCTTGGAAAATTACAATTAGTGCTATGAATGAGTTCTTTGTGGGTATTAATCTAGAAAATCGTACTTTGTGAAGTGAACTGAATTTTGTACTTTGTGAATTAATGAATATGGAGGGTTCTGGTGACCCCCTTGACCCAGGTCGGGTCGAGTACGCTGCTCGACGAACTAGTACCCCTCCCTACTGACGTTACTTTCTTTGTGCAAGTATATGGACCCTGATCTTGACTTTACATACATGTAACGTAACATACATTTTTAAACCAGATTAGTTATTACTGTAATTGCTGTGATAGCTGACATATTAATTACTTGTTGCATTAAAACAAAGGAGACGGCCATCTTGTATTCTAAACGTGTTAATCCCTTTAATCCCTTTGGATATGACTTTTTCTGGCTACTCAGGTAGGAACTCTCGTCTGACTGCAACTTTCCAAAACCCCATGGACCAATGTAATAACTATGACTGAGAATCTATGATAAATGATCCTCCACAACAAGCTTAGTTTGTTACACTGGGCTTCTATGGCTTTGGGATGGTTAATTCATCACTAGCTTCCCTTCCTGGGGGTTATTTTCTGTGGAACTCTTCCACCCTTGGTGAGTACCCCCTTTTGTTTTCTCCAAGGTAGCATATCACCGAGGAGCCACCATTAAGAGTCTTCCCAGAAAACTAGCAGTGAATGTAATGAACTGCCACTTTCTGGAGGGTCCTTGGTAGCTCCTTGGGGCCATCCTTTTCTCATTTTGAGGCTTTGGTTTTCTGTTTTCCAGGCTATATGACTGAAAGCTTAAGTGTGGTGGTGTAAAAAGGAAGGTCCGCAGCTTCCTGGTGGTGTTCAGGTGTAACTAAAGTAAGAATAGCTTCACCACTGAGTGGTTTATGAATCTTGGGTATTTGCTGTTCTGTTTTCTGTTGTTTCTTTATGTTATTGTATTTTGTTTTGAAATGCCTATTTCTAGTGGCCTTTTCTTGGTTAGGGTGATTTACGAACACCTGTTCCTTTCACCTTTTAGGAGGAGAGCCAGGTTTTGGCCTCTGGTCCTCAGTGGGCTTATATATATGATTCACAAGGGCCTAGCATGGATTGAAATGGGTGGAGCTTGCCAGGTAGCATGTACAGTACTAAGGAACCACCAAAAATCCATCAGAAAGAGGCATTTCATTACATTCAAAGTTGGTTTTTTTTTACAGTGAAAGTGTCAAGTCAGATGACCTGAAAGATCTGCTTGATGAGTTTGAGCCACCGCCACAACCAATAGACTCAGGCAACATTTCAGACATTGCCAGCTCAAAGTCAGGAGGGAGTAGAAAGTGTAGTACACCCATCCTCAGTGGGACAACTTGCCCAAAAGGAATGTCAACAGGTGCCACTCTCAGGTCAGTTTTAACTCGTATTTGAATTTATTACCATGATATCCATGATGCAAAAGAATGGAGTTATTATGTGCATTATTTGGTATTACAAGTAGGGATACCTTGTAGTTTTCACACACACACACACACACGCACACACACGCACGCACGCACGTGCGTGCGTGCGTGTATGTATGGTTCTCAGATACAGATACTTCCTAATTTTTAAGGGATTATTGAAGCATCATCTATAATATGTGAAATAAATCATCACATTGTTAAAAAATTACTGTTTAAACTTAGAGTAATATCATATTAACTGCATGAATATAATATACTCTGCTATATGTGCTGCTGTGCATTTAGTGCCCCTACAATTGTTTTTTGTTTTTGTTATCATTATTTATTTATATGCAGTAAACCAACTTATGCACAGTAATGTAATTCTTCATTCCAGAGCATGTGATAAGCTTCGGTGTGTTTTGTGCGACTCCTTTGTAATATTGATTGATGGATTTGCCTGGGCCGAGAAAACAGATTATCTCTTTCTCCGTAATAATTACCCCGACATCAGTCGCTTGAGAGCTCGTCTGGATTCTCAGCGTGGGATTCGAGCATATGCTTGTCAGTGCCAGCACCGTTCTGTAAGAGAAACCAAGAATGTTAACAGTGAAAGTAACTTAAAATGGGTATGTGGGGGACATTAAGAAACAAGAATGTAGCATTAGTGTTCTGTGATAGTTACTTGTTTTATGATGAGTAAACAGTATAGTGACACAGTACTTAAAATTTACTGTCATCTATGTTTCTGTGTATACAGTGCATGATGGATGTCAAACATAACCCATTAACAGTGTTTTATATTAAAAATACAAGAAGTTTACCCTATGATAAGCAATACAGTATTAGTTATATCTAGATTATAATTTATTTATGAATTACCGGTATGTATTTAAAGTTTTAAACTACGGGTAATTATTTTTATTATTTAACTAGTGAACCAGTTATGCTTTATATAATTTATTTACATTTACCTGTTGTAGCATAAATATCTTTATAATGAGGTGCACTTGCATAACTTTCTGCCAGTGTTGTGTGAAGACGTTGACAACCTCTTAAAGGCATAATTAATAATTTATTGATAATGTCTTCAGATATATGCTTCCTGCAAAATGAGCAGGATAAGAAGTTTTCATTTTAACCAGGTCATTATTCTTATTAGTTTACCTCTTCTTGAAACTTCTTTTAATGGATTAATTGTTTATTAAGTGGAAAATTAAATGAGACAAAATATATTGAAGAAAATTCAAAATAATTGCACAAAGATTTATTATAATTATGAATAATAATACAGTAGATAAAAATGTCAGGTTCACCATTTGTTGGAAGTGGGTAATTATTTGTATTTGACCTTGCCAATTTGATCTGCCTGACTTCAATTTTGATGCATGCTTCAGGGTACATACCAGTAAATTAATAATTGAGCATCTTTACCCCCTCCCCGCTCAGCTCGTTGTCGCCGTCTGGGGGCTTAGTGGGCGGCTGCCGGAGTGTGATGCTCCTTGGGACAGTCCTCTGTCCTTTTCTAGCCTTGTGCTCCTGCTGCCGTCCTCTCCAATTCTGCTGGGCATCTTTTCCTTTTCCTTCTGTTTCGTTTTTCTCCCCCCTCTTCTCCTATCTGCTTGCCGTTTCCTGCCGACCTTTTGCTCGTTCTGGTTCTTCCCTTGGACTTCTTCTACTTTGACGCCCGGGTGCTTGAGGAGGCATACTCTTGCACCCGTAGAACTGCAGTACCCGACGTCGAGAGCGAGGGGAACCTTTTATTGTCAATCCCCACTTCGTCACTGAACCCGATCTCGACGGACTGTCGGTTTCTTAAGGTGGCGTTTGTGGGGCGTATACTCACGACGCACCCCTAGGAGGCCCCGACAAGATCGGCGATAGCTTCTTGTTGGGTGTCCTGCCTCTAATTGTGGCTCCATGGTGGGTGTGGGGGCACATTCGTGAGTGAATTCGTAATTTCGTCAAGATGATAACCCCTGTTTCGGCTGCTTCTGGCTTACCTTTTCAGGCTCGTGGGGTGGGCGACCAAGCCCCCGAGTCGGTCCGTATTGGAAGACCGGGCTCTGTAGCCTCCGCTGCATTGGGCCCCGACCTTGCTCCTCCTTTGGCCTCTCTGACTCCTTCCCCTGGCTCCCCTCCCTCCTCTGTGGTTGGGTCGAGCCCCAAGCCCCCAGTGGTGACTACCTCGTCCCCTGGCGCGGCTCCTTCTCTAGTTGTAACTACTGCGCCTTTTGACCCCTCTCTCTCTGGGGGTTCTCACCGCCGTTCTCGTCACGGCCGCCCTCGCTCGATTCCTTCCAGTTCTGCTACCTATCAAGCCTTGTTTGGTCCCGCTTCGTGGGCCAAATATTTTGATCTCCTCCCTCTTGATTCTGCGCCTCCTGACGATTTCTCCCTTCATCGACATCTCATTGATTCCGTGGATGCCTCCATTACTTTTAACCCCACTCGTCTCGGTACGCGTGTCGTTGCTGCTCCTTCTCAGGATGCTGCTTCCCGCTTGGCTGCCTTATCCTGCCTTGGCGAGACCCCCGTTCGGGTCTCGAAGAACGTTCAGTTGAATGCCAGTGTTGGCACTATTTTGCTCCCGCCCCATGTTGCGACCGGTGTTCGGGACCTACGCGACTGCCACGACGATATTCGACATATCCTCGCTGCCCAGGGCCATTCTATTCTCCAGGTGGACACGTTTACTCGTCCCCCTCGTGGTAGTCGCCGTCAACCCCTCCGGGTTGTGAAGATTACCTTTGATGGTAGGACCCTTCCACCCTCTGTCATTCTTGCTGGTGCCAGGTGCTCTGTCCAGGAGTACATTCCTTCTCCTCGGCTCTGCAACAAGTGCTGGAGGTTTGGGCATGGTGCCCTCCGCTGCTCCGGGACTGTCTCTCTCTGTCCTTTGTGTGGTGGCGAAGGTCACTCTAAGTCGGAGTGCGCTTCTCCCCAGGCTCGTTGCCTCAACTGCGGTGAGGCCCATCCTACCTTCTCCCGTGCTTGTGTCCATTACAAGCTTGAGGCAGCCGTCCTCAACTTGAAGCACCGGGAGCGTTTATCTTTTCCTGAGGCGAGGCGCCAGGTTCGCCGGCTCCCGCCTTATGCTAATATCTCTTATGCTCGAGTGTTGCGCTCTTCCTCTCCTCGTCCTTCCCGCCTTCCTCAGACTCACAACCGTTTCCAGGCCTTGGACCCTGATGCGCCCACTGCCCCCTCCTCTGTCCCTTTGGGTTCTCTCTCGAAGGATCCTCCTCCTGGTCCTCTGTCTGGGGTTCCCCTTCCTTCTACCCGGTCTGTCGTGTCTTCTGTGTCTCCTTCCTCGTCCCCCTCCGATCCTCCTTCCCATCCTCTTCCTCCATCTATCGGCTCTCCCCGCCGCCTGTCGGTGCGGGCGGATGTCCATCGCTCTCCTAACGGCCGTCGTGTGTGCTCTCGTTCGGCTTCTCCTGTTGAGACACTGGAATCCGTTGCCCGGTACGTAGTTGCTGGGACACCGGTCTCTTTAAGTCAGAAGCGTAAGCCTGGCTCCTCTCCTTCCTCTTCCCCGGCGGGTAAGAAGGCTTCGCTTTCTTCCTCAGCTCCTCCTTCTGGCTCTGTTGCTCCTTCCACTCCCGTTTCAGTGCTTGCGCCCCCTGTTCCTGCTATGGAGGTTTCTTTGGCCCCTGCTTCCCTTTCGGTTGCTGCTCTTGCTGGGGTGCGCTCCTCTCTTTCTACTCCCCCTCTTCCTGCTGCTGTCCTTGACTGCTCCTCTCCGTTGTCTCCTCCTCCTCCTCCTCCTCCTCCTCCTCCTCCTCCTCCTCCTCCTCCGGACCCTGCCCGCCCACCTCTGATCTGTTCTCCCGTTTCCTTCCCTCCGTCTTTGCTCAGTTTACCCATGCCCCCTAACCCTGACTTTGCTGACCCTGATCCCGACCCTGATATTCTTTAACGTGCTCTGTTGGTCTTTCGCCTTTGTTTCTTCCTTGTTCTCTGTTTTTGTCCTTTCTCTTCTCGTCGTTGTCCATTCTTCAATGGAACGTTCGAGGTTATTACGCCAATTTCCTCGAACTCCAACTTCTGGTTTCGCGGTTTTCGCCCCTTTGTGTCTGTCTCCAGGAGCCGATGCTTGGTGCTCGTCCTGGTCGTTTTCGTGGCTATTCCTTTCTCTCCCCCCCCCCAGCCATTGCTGGGGCTTCTAATTCTTCTGCTCTCTTGATTCGGGCTGATGTTCCCTTTGTTCCTTTACTTTTTCCTTCGCCTCTCCATTGTTCTGCTGCTCGTATCTTTGTGGGGAAATGGTACACAGTTTGTTCCATTTATCTCCCCCCGAGTGTCCCGCTCTCTCTTCCTGATTTGAAACACCTCCTAGACTCCTTGCCGGAGCCTGTGCTCCTGCTGGGTGACTTCAATTGTCGTCATTCTCTTTGGGGTGACGTTCTGACGAATACCCGGGGTCGCCTCCTTGAGCCGTTTCTCCTCTCTTCTTCCCTGTCTCTTCTGAATTCTGGTGAGCCCACTCATTTGGACTCTCGAACTCGCACCCTTTCTTGTCTTGATCTTTCTCTCTGCTCTTCTTCTCTTTACTTAGATTTCACATGGCAGGTTCTTGATGACCTCCATGGAAGTGATCATTTCCCCATCCTTGTTTCCTTTTTCTCTTTTCGCCCTTCCCTCTCTTTCCCTAGGTGGCAGTTTGCTAAGGCGGACTGGACCCTATTTTCCCTCAGTGCTACTCTCTCTGACCTCTCCCTTCTGCCCCTCTCTCGCGCTCTCCTCCTTTTTCATGACACTGTCTTCGACGCTGCCCTCCGCTCTATTCCTCGCTCTTCCTCTCGGGGTCCACGGAAGTGCGTTCCCTGGTGGAATGCGGACTGTGCTCGGGCTGTCCGCTGTAAGCGTGCAGCCTGGAAGAAGCACCGCCGTAGGCAGACGACCGATTCTTTTCTTTTCTTTCGGAAAGCGAGTGCGGTGGCCCGTAGGGCCATCCGTACGGCTAAACGTGAATGTTGGGCATCTTATGTCTCGACAATTACGTCCGAAACCCCTCTGGCCCAGATCTGGAAGCGTATCCGCAAGATAGCGGGTAAGTTCGTTCCCGATGTTTCACCGGTCCTTCACCTCCATGATACTCTTGTGGCGGACCCGTTGCAGGTCGCTTCCGAACTGGGTTCCCACTTTTCTTCTGTTAGCTCTGGTCTTCATCTTCCCCAATCTTTCCTTCTTCGTAAAACTGTCCTTGAGTCTCGTCCTTTAGATTTCTGCACTCATCTTCAGCTTCCCTATAATGATCCCTTCTCTCTCTCTGAACTTCGTTCTGCCCTGGCCCTCTGCGGTTCTACGGCGGCGGGCTCCGATGGTATTCATTATGAGATGCTTCGCCATCTCCCTCCGAGCACGTCTCGGTATTTACTGAGTCTGTATAATCGGATCTGGGAGTCGTCGTCAGTCCCTGAGGACTGGCTCGATGCCGTTGTCCTCCCTGTTCGCAAACCAGGGTCTCTGGGTACTTCCCCTAAGGACTTTCGCCCTATTGCTCTCACAAGTTGTGTCTGCAAACTCTTTGAACGTATGGTTAACGTTCGTCTGATGTGGTTCCTGGAACACCATCACCTCCTCTCCCCTTCTCAATTTGGTTTCCGCAAGTGCCGCAGCACGACAGATGTCCTGGTGAACTTGGAGGTCTATATACGTACTGCTTTTGCTGCGAAGACCTCCGTTGTTGCCGTCCTTTTTGACCTAGAAAAGGCTTACGACACCACTTGGCGTTATCATATCCTATCTCAACTTCATTCTTTTGGCCTTCGTGGTCATCTCCCTCTCTTTCTCCGCAGCTTCCTCTCTCGTCGTTCCTTTCGGGTGCGCCTTGGTACCGCTCTCTCTCCCTCTTTTCAGCAATACGAAGGTGTGCCCCAGGGTAGTGTTCTGAGCACTACTCTTTTTCTGGTTGCCCTCAATGGTCTTCTTTCCTCTCTTCCTTCTGGTGTCTTCTCCGCTCTCTATGTCGATGATCTTACCCTTTGTTGTCAGGGTGATGATTCGCCTCTCCTTCAACGCCGGCTTCAACTTGCGATTGATGCCGTGTCGTCTTGGGCCACAGGTCATGGCTTCAAGTTCTCTACTTCTAAGACTTGTGCCATGACTTTTACGCGGAAACGGGTTGTTCTTCGTCCCTCTTTGTCACTTTATGGTCATCCCCTTGAATACAAAGATTCCGCGAAGCTTTTGGGGTTATTCCTTGACACTCGTTTGTCTTGGTCTCCCCATATCTCTTACCTCCGTGTTGAGTGCTCTAAGTCCCTTACCCTCCTTCGGGTCTTGTCCCATACTTCTTGGGGGGCAGATAGGCGCACTCTCCTTGCTTTACATTCCTCTCTCGTCCTGTCTAAGCTCGATTATGGTTGCCCTGCTTACTCGTCTGCTTCTCCTTCTACTCTTCGCCGTCTTGATGCTTTGCACCATA